AAAATATAGTGATCGGTAATTGGTAACTGAAGCCTTTCATAAAAAAGCTTGTTAATTGCCCTAAATTGGCTCCTTATTACTTTAAACAACATTACCAAATTTTAACGAAATCGGGTAAAGGATATTTATAAAAAAACTGAATTAAAAATGTTCATAAGAACAAATTTTCTTGTTTTCTTATTCCTGATTTAATATTTTCAACTTCTTTTATTGAAATGGGACATTCTATATGTTTCTACAATTTTTAATTTACCGTGTTTTCCCGAATTCATCCTTACTGTCTGTAAAAATTAGAAAGAAACAACTCTTCGTATTTACTAAATAATTAATTTTATTATTGCTAATTAGAAATACACTAACAACAGCATAAATATATCCAATTATTTCTGAAATGTTAGTGAAACATAAAATAAACATAAAACGCTATTTTATATTAATAAGTGAGATAACAAACTCGCACCTACTAAGTGAATATGGCGCAATAATTCGTAAAACTGAAAAATGTTTATTTAATTAAAATAATTATTTAAATTAACACTTTCTTGTGATTATTTTGCATGCTGATTGATGAGTAATCTAAAAAAATAGCATATTTTAAATAAACTCATAAAATTGAATACCGATAGATATATAAATACTTAAATTCCTTTGTAAACTCTAAAAATACCCAGTTTCGCGAAAACATACTGTGTTTATAAAAGTTTAGCCAAAATTGCACATTTGTGGAGATTTAACGAGCATTTTAAAAATCATTTATTTTCAGAAAGCAATAAACTGACTTTTTTTTAATTATTTTCAAATAAATCATAAATCTATAAAGGTACATGCACCGGAATATTGTTGCAATCATAATTTAATTTTAGATTATTTTAGGTTAGAATTTACTTCTAATTTTTGTTCATTTAATTATTTTTTTCATTCCATTTTAGTTTAGCGTCCAGATTTAAACTTTAATTTTGCTGATTCCTTATTTGTTATAATATTGTTGTTTGAGGTTATTAATTAGATTTATTTCAAAAATAATACAAAAATATTTTGATTTAATTGCAAACAAAAATCGCAGATATGTACGAGATTGACGTTCAAAGACATTACAACTAAGAGACCAAATTGTTTACATTTTTATGTGGCAAATCATTATTCCCACCAGATTCTCGTTTATTGCGTCTTTGCCGGTTTTATCAGTCTGTAAAAATTATTTGGAGAAATTACTTTCGAAAAATAAAATTTGATGTATCCTATAACTATAATTTTATATTATATTATTATATAAATAAAAATATGTTTTTAATCAAATTATTCTTTAAAGTTTTAATATAAGCTAAATTTTTTATTAAAAATCAATATTAATCTAAACAAAATATTAGGGTTGCAAAGAACTCCTTAAATACGGCAACGCTGAATATCTCATTTTACGAATTTACAACTAGTACCTATTTTTATGAATGAAAAATAGTTACCGTAACCAGCCGCAACGTTGCCAATCGGGTCTAACAGCTGTTTTGTGTTTCTCACAGTTTCTGTGCGACTTATTGATTTATTCATTCATTTATAAAATATTATTTTGGTGAACTTTTGTGAGAAATATAAAGTAATATAAGGATGGGAAATATATATCGATGGCTTAATTCTAACAAGTCGTAACCCCCAATTTTTACGAATTCATATTTTTCCGTTTACTCGGTAGAAAAAGATTGATATTATCGTTTACTAAAACCTCTTGTCCCAAATAAAATTATTTCTAGTTGATTCTCACGATTTCTAACAAGTCCTAAAAAGCACAATACATGTGACATGTGTCTGCATCTACTGTAAAATTTACTCTTTGTGGGTGGACATCGATATTCTTTCTCTGGTAAAAGTCGTAGGTTTATAATATAATACTGGCCCAAGAACACTTCCCTAAGAGACGCTAACATTGTATTGACATAAGTTCAGAGTGTTTTCCATTTTAACTTTGAACGTTCTAGCTTTCTAGCAGTTGGAAACATTGCATCGTGAAAAATTTCTTTGTTTTAAATTGTAGTCTTTGATGTCACACTTTTGAAATATCAAGCATTTTTTTTTTCTTCTAGAGCTCTAGAATGTATATCTTGAAAGTTATTTCAATGATTCTTCAAGAAATAATAAATGAAACTGTATTTTATATACTAATGTATTGTAAACAACAATTATTTATCATGGAAAAAAAATGTGATGAACTAATTTGAATTCGATCAAGGTTTATTTCTGTATAATTTATTTAATTATTATGATACTTACATCGGCATCGTTATCGGTTATTTTCGCAGAAACAATTTCTTGATTGCATCACAGAAAAATAAAAATTCATTGACATGTTATGCCTATGTAGACATATTTTAAAATCCTATATATCTAGTTTTATAATTCATTTAAAGACGAACAGATGACATGTTATATTAAAATTCGTTTTAATAATTGATCAAATAATTATTAAAAGTCATTGAGCTAGAATAAAGAAGACGATAATAAAAGTGTTCGCACTTTTGCATTACACTTTTCGTCATATGTCAAACTCGAGCTAGTGAAATTAGTCAGTATTGGTAAGAATATCATTATCATCATCTAAACCTTCTATAATTATAATTTCTAATGCCTCTTCCATATTATGTACTATTATAGACAACAAAAACGATGAACTAGTTAAAAATGAGGTTAGAAATATGTATACGGACAGGACTCTAATGTCAAAACTTTAGGTTTACAATAGGTCATTTCCTTTGCATCGAAAGTGTAGCACTGAGCTACACCACTTCTGAAAATATCGTTCCATTTATACAATATGTATGGATAAAACGATATTTTCAGAAGTGACGTATCTCAGTGCTACACTTTCGATGCAAAGGAAAAGACCTATTAAGTTTTATTTTAGCATGGAATTTATTTGCCACTAATTAAGTTGTCACTATTAGTGGCTGACGTTATAGAAATTTGCAATATCTCTCTAATTTTCAAATTATTGATTTTAAATAAATTAAAGTACGACTCTAAGTCGCCATTTTGATTACACTTTTCCATCATTCGCAAAATAGCGTTTATATCGTTTCTACTTTATTCTATCTTAATATTTAAAGTATATATAAGAACTTGCAGCTTTTTCATGTGTAAAAAATAGGTACTATGGTTAACAATTAAAATTGTAGCAATTCCTATTGAATTTGCTGTCTTTATTAGATGTACTTCGTAATATACAGGGTGTTTTCAAAGGTGAGTCATTTATTTTAACAGCTTGCAGAACTCGTCAAAAGAAGTCGATATACCAAAAATCACCTAAATAAAAGTTGCATATTAAAAGAAATAAAAAGGAGTTTCAAAATTTTAAAACTAAAACAAATACAAACTATTTATCCGCATATTTTAATATTCCTGACCACTGCCAAGTAAAAACTTATCGTTGTTTGTTTACTACGACAATTTTACTTATCTAGGTATGGTTATTTTTTTGTTTTACGGTTTTGAGAACGATTTTCGGTTAGTTATTGGTATCAAGCGTTTAGTTCGTATCACTTTAATTTTTTTGATATTTTGTACGGAAAAATGGCCCACGTTTATAGAAACAATGAACTAATACTAACATACGGAGAGTGCCAACAAAATTCAGCCGCACCATACTAGAGAAAACCAAAATTTTCTTTTCTCAGGATCATGCGGAAACCTAAATAGAATATTAAAAAATATGTATACGTGCCTAATAGGTAAATTATTTTTAAGGTATTCTACATTTTACGTTAAATTTTCTTTGCCACTATTCAATAATTATTTATTGGTATAAAAAAAATTTATTAATTTATAAAAGGAATATCACTTTAAAAACTGTTTTAAGACTGTTTTAGACTACACAAGTTTTTGATACAATTTCTTGTACAATTTAAATTGTATATTATCAAACCTGCAGTAAATTATCTGAAAAATTAGATTGGATAATCATTTTTCAAACAATAATTCTACAAAATACATTTTTCTCGTTATTTTTTAATTTTTTTTTTAATTGCATTAAGCAAAGTCTGCGATGTTGCGTCTAAAATCATAAAATCCAACACTACGGCAGGTAGGTATTATCTTTTTACGAATCAAACAACTTTTGACAGTAAAATAACTTATTTTATTTGTGAATTTTTTTAAAGAAAAAATATAATAATAACGCTTTATTTGCTACATAGGTATAAATAAGTTAATCATTTACAAAAGAAAAAATACAGAAGTGTAGCCAAAAGGACTGATGAATAGTAAAACTGATCAAAACATCAGCAAATATGTTTGTAACATACTAAGTTTAGTTTTGTTTATGTATTGAGAAGATGATACATTATTGGTTGTATTCATCTGTTTTGCACAACTGCAATAAAAAACAGTACCAGGTCAAATTGTATAATTGAATCGGCATTTTATTCCACACAATGTGATGACCAAATACAATTCGATGGGTATGAACTGGGTCATAATGTGTCACGGTAGTTCATTATACCTACACAATAATTAAATATTTCTACACGAAGTTATTAGAAAATACCTACATGAAAAAAAAAATGTAATGTGATGGAAATTGAAAAACAAATATGAATGGAGTGATGTTGCAATTTCGTTTATTCATGATTTTTTGTCCATTCTTTAAAAAAAGTTATGGAAATATTTAGTTGCTGACCTACTTCAATCCAGAATTGTTAAAATATGAATAGTATTTTTTTTGTTTCACTCTTCCTACAATAACAACACACACAGTTATGGGACATTCGGCAACAAAATTTATTGGTTTAGTTATACGTTATGATACATATTATTTTAAATTTTAATTGATATCTAAATGTCAAGTACTTTGTAAACGAAGTTCCTTATAGTTCAATTGAAACGGGCTGCCGAACTTATCATAACACCCCTGTATTTATACACCTTTTCGCTTTCCTTCCTGGACGAAATAGTAAACAAACCGAACATGCCAAGTTTCCTAAATAATTCCGTATTTTATTAAGATAAAAACTCACCTGGTAATGCTGCGACACACCACAAGAACCCCAAAACGGTAATACCGATCACAAATCGCCTCATTTTCGAAAAATATCACTCCGTAATAATAAATTAAGGTTAATATCGTACAAGTCTCTTTCGTTTTGCACAGTCTCGATGAATCTGAAGCTCCAATCGGGATTCCTGCTAAATATAAATGGGGGTCGGCCGGCGTCAAATCTAGCGTGCGCTGGTTGGGTCTCGAACCACTATGCGATTAAAGGATGTTATTATCCTTATTAAGGATGTTACTTCCTGATTGTAGGGGTGTAGGTCGACGGGATTTTTGGGAATCGGCATAAAAATATTAAAAATAAATAAAAAACTTTGTATGTGATAGTTATTCTGACATTGACAAATAAAAGTGAAGGAAATTTATTGTCCTTGACATTAATTCAGCTGGATATCTACAGTGTCATCGTTAAAGTCTTCATCATATGAATTTTTTTTTTTAGTACATAGAACGTAATCTTCATAATCGAACGAGTTTTAGCTAAGTTCATTTTATACTTATTTATATAGTTCGATTGAGATTTTTTTATAACTAAATACTTGGCACGTTCCTGATGTTTGATATAAATCCAACCACAAATAACAGCAGGACATGCAGCAACAAGTCTTCCATCAACTTTTAAAAATTGTTTTATTATTATTTTGTAATTTATTAACTTTTGTTTTCCTTGTTTGAATATTAAATTATGGTAGTTGAAATTGTATATTTTATTTAGAAATTATAGAATTAATTAATTATTTAGTGGTTTTAGCTGCAATAACTAAAAGGGTCCAAATTGTCTTTTCTTCTTGACTTCCCGTAACTATAGCTGCTCCTACCCCTGTTTCATCTTTAGTTTATACTTCTACATTAGTTACAGCAGAGGGGTACATCTATTGTATATAAGGCCATTCGCACACATTTGAAGGTGTTTATTTACATTTATTATAATTTATTACAAAATTCTAAATTTTCCAACACTAGCATAATATGTTTAACACTTGTCTCTGTTTCTTGTTTACGTTTTTCTACCACTAAAATATTCACCTAAATATCGTTTAATTGAAGGGTATTAAAATCGTTAAAATCTGACTTTAATATTTTTGTGATAACAAAATCACACTTTGTTTAATTAATTTTGAATTAGTCACATTCAAATTTTTTGATTCTAAATGACTATAACTTCTAGGTTAACCTATGATGGTGGGTGAGGTTTTCCGGGTTTTCCTCACCTGTAAGTCAAATGGCACCATCAATCATCTTTAAGTCGCCCCGGAGCGCCGCGGCAAATAATAATAATAGCCGTCCCTTCCCCTACACAAGTCGTTCAGTCGACTTCAGGGGTTGAAATTCACTCGTAAGGGGGTGAATTAGGGAGAGTATTATTATTATTATTATTATTATTATTATTATTATTATTATTATTATTTTCGTGATCTCAGCACATGCTGGTATAATTTTTCGCTATACAAAATGTATGAGCTCGGACAACCTAGCAGGGAAACAATTCAGTTTAACCCACTTAGGTACCGTTTAAGAACCTGCGAACGATGTGGCAGGTTTGCAAAATGACTGCTTTCTGTGCATATGTCACTATGTTTTTTGATAATCCTATATCTTGGAGATTTTTACTGAAGTGTTTCGATATAATTCCCTCCGCTGACATTACCAGTGGGACTATGGAGACTTCGTCTAGTTTCCAGATGTTCTTTAATTCATATGACAGATTTTCATATTTCCTGATCTTCTCGGTCTCGGTTTTAGTGACGTTGTATGACAGTGGTACAGCTATATCGATGATCAATCCTGTTTTCTTTTGTTTATCGATATTATTATTATTATTATTATTATTATTATTATTATTATTATTATTATTATTATTATTATTATTATTATTATTATTATTATTATTATTATTATTATTATTATTATTATTATTATTATTATTATTATACAGTTTTAAGACTAGCCTTTATAAAAATAATATGCAATATAGCCTTTAAAACTCTAAATTGTTCAGCAAAATCAATCCCGCATAAAAATTAGGCTTACTTCTACGTACAATTTTTTTATCCTGTATTATGTAATTAAATCAGTAGTATCAGAATTTCTTTGACAGGAGAATAAAAAAAAGGTTCTCAACGAGAAGAATAATTTTCGTTTAAATAATAATTAAAAACCGAAATCAAAGAACAAAAAGTTCTTAGATCAAGAACAAAATTTTTAGTTTCTGCAAATTTAGTGTTTTTTTTTTATTTAGTGTTATGGCTTTGATAATACTAATAGAGATCTAGTATGTGTAATAAATGTTGATAAAAATTTATTTCATGCAAAGTTTGTTATTAATTTACTTTCAAATAGTTTCTAAACATTAGTTACATACTTCGTGTTCATTATTTTATTACATTTTAAGACATTTTATTTATTTATTTAAAATCTGCCATTGCATATTTATAATTTTATAATTTTTTAATCAGTATCTGACCCGTGTGTCATAATATTTATTTTATTAGTTATATATTTTTAGCTATATATAATTATGGTAAATATCCCATTCTATTTTTTTTCATTACTTTTCTCGAAACAAGTGCGTAATACCTATAACTTATCCAATATCTTTATTTAATCATAATAACAATGTATATTTTATTATTGTATTTTTATTGGACTAATTGAATACAGTTTAATAATATCCAAAATTTGGGGTAAGTTTTTTCAATAACTATAAAAGTTATAAACATATAGTTCAACTCACACGATATCAAATTTCCTAAAAAAAATTTCTTCTGGGACCAAAATTTTATTAAATAAAAATATCCGACTTACAAAACTATTTAAAACTGCTCTAGTAACATTTTCTAGGATAGGGGAATTTTATGTAGGAGAAAAAATGGTATATAATAGTCTCTCTCCCGCAATATCTTTTCTTTCAATCGCAATATCTGCAATCTAAAAGATATTTAATAAATAGATCATTTCAATTTGTTTATTTTTATTTTAACTTATTATACATAGTTTAGTTTTATAAATATTATTTTAAAATATTATTTTTCTAATTCTGAACGATGATAATTAATAATAATTTAATAAATATTAAATTTGTGCATATCCAAACATGAAAATAAAATGTATTTATAGATTCTAACCGTAAATACTTAGTTGAAGGTAACATGCCATCCTGTTTTTATTTATTACAAATTTGGTCAAAATTGGTATATATGGGATTCTCCAATTTTATGAATTTCTTGCTTAGATACCAAGAAGTATGAATAAAAATTCCGCATTCCATAGACAGATTTCATTTCTAAGGAAACTGTAAAATATACAGGGTGTCCCGAAATTAGACGATCATATTTTAGAAGCGTTATCTACATCCTAAAATAGAAGTAAAAGTTCATATAAACATAGGTTCGAAAACGTTTCGTTTTCGAGATACAGGGTGTTACAATAATCTTTTTTTTTTCTAGTTCTAAGTAAAAAAAATTGATTTTTCTGTGTTGTAATTAATAAAAATCAATTTTTCATAATAATATATTTTTTTAGTTCTTATACTTATAAAAATAAATCCATTTTTCTGAGTTCTAAGTCGGAAAATTTTCTTTTTCGATTTCTAAATCGGAATAATCCATTTTTCCGAGTTCTAATCAGTAAAAATTTATTTTTCCTAGTTCTAATTCGGAATAATCTATTTTTTCTAGTTCCAAATCAGAAACATTGATTTTTCTAAATAATAAAAATCGATATTTCTGAGTTCTAAATAATAATAATCATATTTTTTTTAGATTTAAGTAAAAAAAATCGATTTTCCGCTTTCTAAGCCAGAAAATTCCGTTTTTCCGAGTTCTAAGTAATAATAATCAATTTTTCCAGTTATAAGTCCAAAAAAAATCGATTTTTCCGAGTTCTAAATTGGAATAACCCATTTTTCCGAGTTCTAATTGATAATAATCTATTTTTTTAGTTCTACGTTTGAAAAATCGAATTTTTCCAGTTCCAAGTGAAAAAAGTAGATTTTTCCAAGTTCTTAGTAGGAAAAATCCATCTTTTCTCGTTATTTGTCCAAAAAAATCGATTTTTCTCAGTTTTAAATCGAAATACTCCATTTTTCCGAGTTCAAATTCGAAATAATCTATTATTTTTAGTTTTAAGTGAAAAAAAAATCGATTTTTCTAAGTTTTAAGTAGTAAAAATCCATTTTTACGAGTGCTAATTTAAAAAATCAATTTTCCGAGTTATAAATCGAAATAATCAATTTTTTCGAGTTCTAAATGGGAAAAATAAAAAAAATTGTGGCGCTCCTACGGTTCCGTACTTCTCAAATAGAACAACCACAAGTTGTATACCTGAAACAATTATTTTGTTTAACGCTTTCTTCCTTACCTTAAGCCATTATTAGTGCTTTTTGAACTTTAAAAAGCAAAAAAAACATAAACTAATAAAATTGTTGATATGTAATCTATTATTTTCCCTACTGGTATGCAACCAGTAATACACTAGCCGAACTTTGAATATTAGGGTTTGGGTTAGCAGAAGAAAAAGCATATTAGACGATGTAGATGATGAATTTGATTAATTAACTAGTTCCACTCTTATTTCTTCAATCGTTAAAATTGCTAAAATTACACAATTAATTAATAACATTTTTAAAGAATTGAAAGTATGTATTTAAATTTAATGAATCATGATTACACCTTCTGCTTACTGCTTCGACAAGTTTGGGGAGACAAGATTTATCATAATATATTAATCAAATTTTTATTTATATACGTTTTTACGTGAAAGTACTTTTAAAACCATTTTCTACATTTCTTTGGATCGAAAATGACTACTTATTTTAAATTATTAAAATGCTGCCATCTACCATTAGGTAGTTAAACTACAATGTGTTTCTGTTCTTAAATCAATGAAGGTAGCACATGTTGATGTATTGTGTTTATAAATAAAAATCTAATTTTGTTCGTAACTACTGCAAAATCTACCGCATAGGAGTGATTATAACCATGTTTCGGCGTGCAAGTCAGTGATCGAAATCTCAATAATCGTGTGTGAATTATTCTAATTAAAATTCGTGTTTAATAAACAAAATCAACCATGGGACGTAAAGGTCAAAGTGGTCATAATAAACCGAAGAAATCTGCGTTGTCTAGAAACAGAAAAGACATAAACGAACTTGTCGATAAATTATTAAGAATTAGCACTATATTACAACAAAATGATTTATCTAAATCGTTAGAGAATCAAAAAGAGATCAGTATTATTACAGGAAAATTGAGGAATTTACAAATACAACCAAAAAATAAAATAAATTTAGATAGAAGCGCTGGTGCTGCCACTATCGATAAGTTTATGAACTGGTGCGAAGAAAATGGCGCGCAACTTAAAGGTTGCAAAATTGAAAACATCGAAGGTTTTGATTTAGGATTAAAAGTATGCACAGAAATTCCGCCATCTTCTCTAGTTATATCAGTTCCAAGAAAATTAATGTTAACTATTGAAGCAGCGAAGAAAACAGAATTAAAAGAATTGATAGAAAAAGATCAAATGCTTGCAAATATGACTAATGTTGCACTCGCGATATTCTTATTATTCGAAAAGTTTAAAGACGAATCATTTTGGACACCCTATATTAATATCTTACCGTCTGCTTATACAACGGTTTTATATTTTAATACAGAAGAGTTGGAAGAATTGAAAGGAAGTCCCACTTTAGAAATTGCTTTAAAGCAAGTGAAGAGTATTTCTAGACAATATGCTTATTTTTATAAGTTGTTTCATACATCGAATGATCCTGTTAGTTTACTTATGAGAGAAAAATTCACTTACGATGAGTATTGGTGAGTATTATTTTAAGTTATGTGTAATGTTGGTTGTATACTTTAAGGTTGGTAAACGCAGACAACGCTTGCTCGAAGAGACAATGTAAATGTGCTAGTAAACAGGGTCGCATTAAGGTGATTTTTATTATAGGAATTCATAAAATTCAATTTTTATTATTATTATTATTATTATTATTATTAATTATTATTATTATTATTATAATAGCACGATCTAAAATACATACTGAAATCATCAAAAATCAAAATGAATGACGGGGTATGGTGTAAAATATAAATTTGATGCAAGTATAAACTATCTTTATTTTTGACTTCTGATAATGTCGAAAAATCTTAGGAAATCTTAGGAAAAATTGTTTAGAATTTAAAACTACATTTAAATGAACCATATTCATACACAGGGAGTCCCACATTTTTTTATATAAATAAGAAAAAGTTTATATTACATTTCACAAAAAAAAAATATTTTTGATAAACAGTTTTGCATTAAGTAGATATAAAGTATTAAATTTAATAAAATATAGTTGTATGGGGAAAAATAAAAATAATGATTTATATTAAAGAGTAAAATACCGTATAGTGCAGGGCATAGTGGCGCATTCATTTGCAAAATTGTTTTAATTCGTATTTTTTTTTTTAATCTCCGGAAGGCTTTCCTGATTATAAAAGTGTAAGATGACACTCGATATCTGTTGATGTTATTGTTTAAACAACGAAAAATTAATTAAGCCAGAAAAAAATGCATTTTTTGCAATGAATTATTTTTTTTTTATATTCTTTAGGATATTTCGAATAAAAAAGTCCTTACGCCCATCATCGTATCTTTAACTCTTTAATTGTTAAAAATGTATTAAAATCCGAAATTGACGAAAATTCTAATATTCTTAAATTAAATAATATAACTTAAAATTTAAAATGCTCTAATTTTAAATTTTTTACCGAATATTCAAACTATAATAAACAAAATAACCTAAATAAATTTTCAAAATTTTGTTTGTTGTTTTTTTACGTTATAACAATATGCTTCCTACGCGCGTGTACTTTTAGAGATAAGTACTTCTATCTCACTTCCAACTCAATGTATAAGATGGGTAAGAGTAGTAAGAGAAAGCCCGATGACGCGCTAAATCAATTTTTTTTGCTGTTTTTTAGCGGTAATAAGTTTTAAAAAAATTATTAACATTTTTCATAACACTTTGTTATATTGGCCGATTAATAGTTTTGTATCATGTGATTTTTTTTTACTTATTTAGATACTTTGGATAACTTTTTTGTTCATCAAAGTTAATAGAAATGTTCCACACACAAAAAAAATCATTGCCAAGAGCTGTCTAAGAAATACATTTTTCTCACTTTTTTCCAATAAGATAAAAGAAGACAAACATACCTGCCGTAATTCAAGGGAAATGTCTACCTGTTACGATGAGCATAGTTGACTCACCTGGTTTTTATTTTAAAACAGAGTACGCAATATATATGTATTCAATTTTTTCTATGGTTGTTAATTCTTTTCCACTATGATTATTTAATAGTAATATTCATTTATTAAGAAAATTTTTACATAAAATTATAGTTTGTACATCTAACTAGATTTACATGAAATTGATTTTGGCAACATTCAATTAAACATCCGCATAATGCCACACACTCATGTTTAGTTTTTTACACGAACAAGCTTTCGTTGCACAATTTTTTTTACAGTTGCACGGTTTTGCTAAGTCTTCAGGTAATGGCGGTTTTGTTAAATACAGTGGCTTTATTTGGTTATCATAGAAAACAACCAAAACCAGAGAAATCTAAAGATCACGACAAGTGCATTTGGCCTTTTTATCGTATTGAAAAAAAAAGGTTGAAGAAGATTTTACTTCTCAGGCAATATCTGACAATAATTTTTTCATGAATAAAAATAAATGTTTCTGTTAACTTTAATAAAAAAAAAAGTTATCAAAAGTATCTAAAAAAGTAAAAAAAATCACATGATACAAAACTATTAATCGGCAAATATAACAAAGTGTTATGAAAAATGTTAATAATATTTTTTTTAAACTTATTACCTCTGAAAAACAGCGAGGACCCTCTATGGGGGGGTTCTAAAATTTCAAAGAGATTATTTATGTCCATTGTAAAAAACAAATATAAATATGAAAAAATATTTATTAAAAAAAAATATTAAATCCAGTCAACACTTAATACATAATATTCTTTTAAAAAACTAAATTCAATAATCTTTTTTATTTACTTCAATCGAGATTATTGAACCATAAAGTCTTCTTATCCTATCATATTAAAAACAACTACTCTCCATCGTATCACATAACACTTCATTCGACATTAATATTATTGCACACAAAATCACATAAATAACAAATAAATAAAAAATCAACAAAATGTAGTCGATCGAAATCAAAACGATTCCTTTCTATCTCTACTGGCGTCCCAGATTTCATCAGACATACTCTGCAACGTAGATTTATAATAGTTCTTCTTCCTACCAAGAGTTTCATTCATAAAAGTCTTGATAGCTGTAGTGGGCCGACCTTGAAGCATCATTGGAGTCCTAAATTTCGTAGTTAAACTACCACAGTAGTTCATCGATTTGTTTTTACGTTGAATCCATTTTAATACTAGTAACACAGCTAGGAAAACTGTTATAGATAGTCCTATGATTGCTAAACTAACTAAAATAGCTGATTTGACACCAGAGGGTATACTATTGAAGATACCATCATCATCATCAGTGTTGGCAGTCAAACGATTTTCTATATCAAGACTTTCAATGAATTCGTTAATATTTTCTCTGGAATCTTTGTTATCAATTTCATTTGTTTCTGGAAATAGGTTAGGATATAGCTGTTTCCAAGGAAAAGTATCAACGCCATCAGAATTTTTAGTCAATTTTACTGTCACTGTAGGAAAAATTTCTTTCTGTTTACTCTTAGTAGTGATTTCTTTTACAGAATTAGTAGTTGATGTTGATGCAGCAGTAACATCATCTAATTTTGTACTCTTTTGTTGTCGATAACTAGTTTTTATATTCTGGATAAATTCTGGATTGATTTGACCTACAAACGGTTCGTCTTTCGGCTCTGGTTCTCTAGTTTTGTTATGGAAAATATCGGCTAGATGTAGCTGAGAAGAACCGCGTTCTCTTTGTTCAACCAATTCTTCTATGGTCATATTTCTGTATTCTAAAATTCTTGATAACTTTTCTCTACTGATAGGATCTTTCATTACCTCCATTATTTCTTGTTTAGCTGTTACATACGTTTCATTTTGATCTTCTGAATTGTTTGTAGTCAGTTCTATGATTGGTTCTGGAATATCTGCAGATTGTTCGATTAGTTTTTTGTTGCTTTCATCGAACATTGCTTCTAAGTCGATTGATACCTGAAATAGAAAATGAAGCGTTTCATTATAAGTAATAATATTGGAGAAAATGTGAAATATGTGTAGAAAATTAAGTGTAGAAGTGTGAGTCATAGTCATAGTCATCCTAAAAGTATTTCAATTTCAGATGGTAGATTAAATGTTTTATCTGCAAGATAGTCTTTGAACATTTGGCTATTAATAAAAACCTGAAGTACTTTTTGAGTGATTTTCTCCGCTATTGCACATGAAACTTTATAAAAGATGGAAGAATCAAAATGAAGGGAATATCAATATTTGTCAGTGATAAAAAGCAACTGACTACCAATATCAAGAAGTGCCTGAACGATCATAGGACGACTATTTTTGGATATAAGAAAATTTGAGAAGTGGTCAATAGTACATGAGCATCTTTTGCTGATCTGAAGCGCAGAAATGTGGGTGCATATATTCCGCTTTCTATTAATAAATAAAAACTAAAAACCTACCTTCATTGGTCCATCAGTTTTGGCTTCTTCTTCTTTTTGATTATCCTCATTTTTATGGAAACCTATTAGTTCGCTAATATCAATTTTGATTGGTTTAGCAAATTGAACTGGATAGCTCTCTTTCTCTATTTGATTTACTTTCTTTGTTGTTATTCTAAGTTTAGCATTTGTAGTTGGTAATTTCCCTCTATATCTGACTGCTTTTGTTGTTGAACTTGGATTTGGTGTTAAAGTTACCACATCTTTAATTTTTTCTGTAGCACTTGTACTACTAGTCGTACTTATGGTAGTTGATGGAATAGTAATTTTTCTTTCAGTAGTAGAATCCATCTCACCTTCATCCGAATTTATATGTATATACTCAACTCCTGAGTATTTAGAATTAGCAGGGATAAATATTCTTCTGTCAGTTGTTGGTTCGTTGATGACATCGAATTTGATAACGGTAGTAAATATTTTATTTTCTTTAGGTTGAAGTAGAGCTAATCGTTTTCTTTGGGCATCTAAAGTCTCTTTTGCACTCAGAGAATCTTCAGTTGAATCTTCTTGTACAGAAGTTTTGGTGGGAGGCTTTAAAGCAATAGAAGGCGGTAGTCGCTTATATTTATTAGATTGTTCTGTCGTTGTATCGATGATTATTGGTGGTTTTTCGGGATTCTCGGTAAGAGCAGATATCGCTCGTTCATTACCCATAAGTAATTCAGATAGTGACAGATTCTTTTGTTGTAAAATTTCGCTTAAACTAAATTTACCACCAGATTTCTTTAATAAAGTCTTTAAATCGGATAAAGAATTCGTAGATAACTGAGGTTCAGATTTTTCTTCGACTAGTATTGAAGTTCCCAGAGGTTTTTCTTGAACATCCTTTCTTTGCGTACCTGACACTATTTCTTCAGTAGCGTCATTTTTATCAATTTCTTCTGAAGTCGGATTGGGTAATGGCAATCTTCTTCTATTATTAGGTTTAATGTTCTCTTCTGTTATTGATAAATCTTCCCAAGCTGGAGTGATTTGGTCTAATCTGAAAGGGCGAAGTCTTCTTCTTGGATATACCTCTCCTTCTTCTGCGTTTTGTAATGGCGGTCTTCTTTTTCTTTTACGAATACGTCGGCGTTTTATTTTTATTTGGTCTAAATCGGTAATTTCGTCTCTTGGTATCCATCCTAGGTCGCTGGCAGTGAATTTTTCCACGGCTCTCCATCCCTGAAAGTATAAAAAGAGGAATATTTTAGGAGCGAATCGTTTGATTTAATAATAATATTGTTAATAATTGAAAAGACATACATGTTGACATTATTGTGATTAAATTTAGTGTGATACATGTTTGGATAGAGAAAAGGTTTGATAAGAGTACTTGCGGACAGGTCCGATCTTTCTCACAGTTCGCATTTGCGCTGTAAACGTTCGTCGCGAAGTACATAATTCCTACTGGGTCTTATCACTACACGATGATTGCGAAACAAACTTCGTTTGGATACAAATTATTCTGATAATCTGACAATTATAATTGTTATATGATTGTCATCATATACTCATTATCCTCTTCCTAAATATAATTTCGTGGTGTGACTGATATAATTTTGGTGACATTTAAAAAAGTTGTCGATGATAATCGTGTTACACTCCATATTACACCTGAATAATTTAAAAAGAACGAAAGGTTTAAAAGAGACCACTTCGGCAAGCAGGAACAGTAGTAATTTTTGGAATCGTTTTAATTATTCCTTTGACATTTTAAAGATAAAACTGTTTGAATAGTAAAAATTGTAGTTTTTGTATTTTGTGGCTCTGAAAAATGAACTTCGCTGTAAGTCCAAACAAAAACAATGTTGTACAGATCTCACTATAGATCAAGTAAATATTTATTGAATGCTAATCTGACTTTGTGGCTATGAAAAAATGAGTTCATATTTATTTTAATAATTTTTAAAAGAAATAAAAAACATTTACGCGCTATTCTGTATTAAATCTATTTGCTGATTTTTGTTTTAATAAATATCTAGTAATTTTTAAATGGGATGATAGTCGAATTTTCTTTCATTTTTAATGTTTTTTACTTATTGACCATTTTTATGAAGTCTTATCATATTTTAAACATTTTTTATTCAAAATCTCTAGTTTAGGTAAGATATTTTTCTAAATCGATCATACAGGAAATTTTCTTAACTTTTTAATGGTGAAAATCACAAACTAACTTTAACTATTTTTGCTTACTGATAATTTATTTTATTATGTGCAAAATATTTGCACATCTCTACTTTCTACTTTTATAGACTTATTTTAAATTTACGATGATATTTTAACTATTTTACACAGTTCAAATAAATAAAAAATGTATTTATTCGTCAATTTATCTAGAATAGTAATTGTTAAATCATTAAACAGTTCTAAATTTTCGTAATTTTAGGCGGCAAACCGTCTCCGATTTAACAAAGATTGATTATCTCGAACAAAACAACTTTCTAATTTCTTATTATTTTCATAATTCAATAATAAATTACGCCGGTCGAAGTTAACAATAAAACTCAATATAATCTTAATAATAATCAGCCATTCAACCAGTGCATTTTCTGTTTTCTCATTTTGTTTCGTAGAAGACACATCTGCAGCGCGTATTATTTGTATCTTGACATAATTGTCTAGTTTTCTAATTTTCTCATCTATTACCACATATGGGATTTTTTCTATAACACTAACACAGAATCATAGAAAAAGTGAGAAAATTCTCTTACATTATTTTCCTATATCAATGTCGGACGTGGGTTATTGATAGAATTTTAATTAGTTTAGTTTCGATCGGTAATCACAGACATTGACATCATTGTCTGCGTTTGGCTTTAATTAAATATCATCTTGTTAGTATACATTTATATTATTTATTTTTAGTTTCTATTGATGTATCTGTTTTTGGCGTTATCAGTTTGCAGAATTGTCTTTATGTCAAGGACGATTTTATTTTTCTGCTAATATCGGGATTATTATAGATACCAATTTGGCCATATAGGAAGACTCTCAGGAGCTGGTTCTAGGTGGAGCTCTTTGTGATTTTGGATGTTTAAAAAGTATGAATTGTGTTTCTTGTGGATTGAGTGAGATCCTCCAACCGGGAGTACTGAATATATTTTTGTTATGTACCAGATTTGTCCAAAAATGTACTAAATTGCATAAACATGTACCAGATTCTATAAAATGTACTAGATTTTCATTTCAATGAGGATAAAAAAAGTGTTTAGGTAACGAAAACAAAACAAGGAGGAACCGCAACAATATATTTTACACGTGTCAAATGGTAACCCACTGAAAAAGAAAAAGGACTAGATTTTGCTTCAAGTGTACTAAGGTACCAGATTCTTATAAAATGTACTAGATCTAGTATAATTGTACTAGACTGGCAACACTGGTACTGGTTAAACAGTTTTTGGGTTCGAGTACTTAATTGGTCAGAATTTTTAGGTACCGAGAGTAGAGTAGTAGGTATTGTCGGCATACAGAAAATATTTGACGATAGATGGTTTACGAGTTGAAGCTCGTAAGTACATATCCAAGAGTAAACTTCTGAAGATGTAAGTGTACATATATGAGGATTTTTTAAGGATATGCGTGGATATACTAAGATTTACGAGGATGTTCGAGGATATGCGAGGATGTATAAGGATCCCTCTAAGATGTATGGTGATTTCTTAAGAATGCAGGAGGTTATAAATATATTTTCCATAAACTTATTTGTCACAAAACTATAAATAAATTTAAATTTCACTAATAATATGGAAATTAAATTGTATTACTAAATAAAACAAATTGATATATTATGTACTCTAGGCTATTGACTGTTGTATAGAAAAGAACGATCACCTTGATTTTTCTTTAACTTTTTTTTAGAAAAATCGCTTAAAAATTGCTCTCCCCCAAGTTATCTCCAAAAGTAAAGCTCAGAAAAAATAATAAAAATAGTTGAAATTAAGATGTAGAATGAATTACACTTATCAATTTTGCATTCTGTAATTTGTATCAGCACCTGATCTAAAACATAATTGTCAACTCTATTTTCTTCAGAAACATTATTAGGTAGTATGTATTAAAATTGCAGAATAAAAATTCATGATTAAAAACACACTAGTGTCATCTAAGTTTTTATAAATAACTCCTATCCTATATTTAAAATTTTTATTTCATTGATATTTTAACATACATTTAGATTACAGTTATTCGCGTTTATTGTCGGATGACTGACATTAAATTATAGCAATCGCTATCATATTTATCATCATTCTGATTTATATTATTGCTTTAATAATAGGTGTTTGAATAAATATTATTATTAATATTAGTTCGAAGTGATTCAATGCAAAAACATTGGCATACATTCTTTACAATGAATACAAAAAGTATCACTTTTATTATCAAGGACATTGATGACAATAAAGTTGTGATGCGCTTTATTACAGGAAGTGCCGGTGTTGATATTTGGTGATTTTTTCATCATAAGTATTTAAAGGAATTAAAACGTTAAAGATATCGATAACTGATCAATTTAACTAACAAATATGTGCACATTTAATTTTTTGGTACTACAGATATTTGCCTATTTAAAAAAATAGTTAAAAAGTAATTATTAAATATTAAAATGGAAATTTTGACCGAAACAACAGAATTATCGGTTTCTCTTCAGTTTTTATTACTCATTATAGAGAGGTGTGTCTGAAAGCAGGTTGTTTTTTTTTTACTTTCATGTTCTAGTTTCCCGAATGAAATGCAGATATTACGAGAGATAACTATTGAAAAAAAATAATGTTCATTAACCGGTTTATGATTATTTTTTAATAGTCAATTTAAAATTTTTATATTAATATGTTTATTACAGCCTACAAAATTTAATTAAAAATCAGTATTTTTTTTCTAATTGTTGTATGTGTGAAGTTGTTTTATTTTAAAATTATTATTATACTCTTTACAAAGTAGTTTGTGAAGTATATTATAGGTTTACTGTCGAGAAACTAAAATTTTTAATATTGATCCAAATTTAAAATTTTTTTTTGTACCACAATGATTCTCATCAAATTTTAAACAACTTTTAAAATTGTCACATTTTTTGTCCGTATGATAAGTCGTAAACGCCAACTTCAAATTTTCAGGACGACATCTACGGATTTTGAAAAATCTGAATTAAAATGGGTGCAATATTAAAAAAAAAATCATATCTCTAAAACGAAAAATGATATCAACTTGAAATTTTTAGCAAAAATCTATAAGGAAACAAAGCCTGATTTTGAAAAAAAAAAATCTGAATATAGGGTTTAAGGGGGTTAAAATTAAAAAAATCATAAATCAAAAATAAAAAGCGATATCAACACTAAATTTTTAGTAAAAAATCAAGCTTTGCAAAGAGATGAAGTTCATTGAATCTGAAAAAAAAAATTAATTAAAATGGGGGTTAAGGGGAGTTAAAATACTAAAAAAAATCCTAAATCAAAAACGAAAAATTATATAACCTTGAAATTGAAATTTTTAGTAAAAATCAAATTTATAGTAAAAATTAAGCTCTATAAGATGAAGCCTATTGATTCTGAAAAATATCTGAATAAAAATGGGGGATTAAGGGGGATGAAATATAAAAAGAAATACCCAATTGAAAACGAAAAATGATATTAATTTAAAATATTTAGCAAACATCAAACTCTATATGGGGATAAAGCCTATTAATATTGAAAATAATCTGAATAAAAATGGGGAAGATTAAAATAAAAACAAATAGAAATCAAAAAACGAAAAATGGAATCAACATGAAATTGTTATTAAAAATGAAGGTTTTTTAAAGAAATAAGGCCTACTGATTCTGAAAAAAATCCTAATAAAAATGGGACGTAAAGGGTGGTGAAATTTTAAAAATAAAGTCCTAACGAAAAATGATATCAAACTGAAAGGGAAAATCAAGCTTTATAAAGGAATGAACCTTATGGATATTGAAAAAAATCTGATTGGAAATGGAGATTAAGGGAGGGGTCTGGCAAACTATAAAGAGTATAATATAGAATGCCAAGCATTATATTCGAGGGTTAAATTGCGAAATAATTATGGGATACAACGTCGTGGAATTTTTGTAGGAATTTTTTGGAATTGTTTTAATTAGTGTACACTATTTTGAACCTCGGTTGACCCCTCGATTGTATCTTTTCATTTTGGTATTTATGTTATTATTTTTGTGTTCATTAGGCGTTGCTACTGTTTCTCAACGTCACTAAAATAATTGACTTACCCTGTAGAACCAAATCAAAAGCTATATGACGTTTTTTTTAATGAAATCAATTCAAAGAAATCTTTTAGAATATTAAAATGTAAATTGAAAATGTAACGTACTATTTATTAGATACTGAAGACTTACAGTGATTGTAAATTTAACTGTGTTGTTGTCTTGTTTATTGAATAAACACTTTTATGAAATATACAGAGATATCAATATGTGTAATAGAATGGGTTTTTTAAGATTTATAAGGTCAATTTATGTGATAATCTTTTATTACAAGAAGGTAATATAAAAATCGATTATGAAATAAAGTATTTACTGTTATTTTTAAAATCAATGAATAAAGGGAATTAAAAAAATAATTTAATACGTTTAATTGTACAGTATTGTAACGATAGTCTAATTTATTTATAGTTTATTTATTTAAAACACACTATTTACAATTTATTTGGGACGTACTATTTAATTTATATAATACTAACTCACAATTCTAATTTATTTATTACAATTTAACTTTTCTGACCAATACTTTTTAATAAACTAAACTGTCCACCGATAAGTTGGGCTATTTATACCAAGCCCAACTCTGTCACGAGGAGTCTCTAGACGCTCCCGAAAATTCCATTTCTGACTCAACGGCACGCATCGCCCGTTCTGGTATATTCGAGACGCGTCACAGTACTTCAATCATGAATCGAGTAGCAAACTGAAAGTCGCTTGCTTTAGACAGGGTTAGCTCCGCGTCACAGTATGTTGCAAGTTGTAAAAAGTCTGCATCAGCATCAAGAAAACAGAAATTGTAAAAAATTTACCAAAAAAAAATGCGTAATAAAAACTAGATTGAGTACATTATTTTTTCCTTTACTACAAAGAACAAAATGAAGATACATTTTGTGTGATTTTTATATTTTCTGGTCAATTACTGATTTAGTAACATTTGTCAATTTTAAAAAATAAGGGTATTTTTACTTTTGAAGCAAATTCATATTTGTTATACCTCTAGCTCGTATATGTAATGTACCAACCATTTTAACATTTTTTAAGTTTATATTGGGTTATGGGCCATGCAACAACGTTTTTTAAGAATAAAATCAGACTTTTTGCTGTATATGTTTTAAGTTTCTCACTAACCTTAAAAACATCATTAACAATTACCTTTTTCTGGCTAAAGACGACATCATTGATATACGGGCACTTAAATTGGACTTTATAAGATTCGAACAGTTTTAACTTTCAATTTTATATAATATATAACATCAGTCATAAAGTTGGGTAAATATAGAGAACATTTTAATTTGTCATTAATCAGGAAACCAAAATTTCTGAAAATCAATAGAAGAAATTATCTAAGACAATCAAAACCGCAAGTTGATCGTAGGTTTTCTTCTAGAGTTATCGTGCTGGTACACATACGCACAGTCGTACATACGAAAAATCCAGATTACTGTTCTACGAGATCTATATCGACTGCTTTGTCACTAAAATCAATTTAGCTCTTTTAAAATGTTTCACATTTGCTACTTGTTAGAATTTTGTAAATATAAATTTTCTAAATGCAAAAGATAATTTCATCTTAAATTTCACCAATTACTGGAAAAATTCCGTGACTTTCAAAGGAATCTCGAAATAATTCAGGGACTTCCAAAAGAATTATCGACAGATTTGTACACGGAATTCTATATAAGTTTACCCCCTGGATCGCAATTGTACACATTTTTTAATTTAAACTGCAACTATTATTATTCTTCGAGTATTTACTACAAGAACGAAGAAAATGAAACTCATATTATAAAAGATAAATGAAGAAAGGAGACTTACTTCTGGATTAAATTCCCTAACTTCTCTGCTATTATCCTCAAGATGTCCATCTTGCACAAGAACATCCTCGCAATATATCGCACCAATCAATAACACTGAAATCACAAATTTCACCTTCTCCATTTTTCCTACAACACCCCGTATACTTATCAGTCTTATTTTACGCCAACCATCTAAAATTTGTTAATTTTCCACCGTTAGCAACATTTACGAATTTTTAATAATATTACTTATTGTATTATTTTATCATTTAACACCCTGTAGATTATTTAACATGCTGGACCGTGAATGGCTTCGCAAGAGTGCAATGTTTAATGAGAGAAACCGAGTGATTGAGTGATTCAAGATTTGTTATTTGTTTACTACGCTACTCCATCCACCGTACGCTTTACGCTACGCGCTTTTGGTTCTTTCTTTTTTCTTTCACTTGGAGGGGGTCCAGTAGTCATTGCTGGTCAGATTTTTTTTAAGTCTGGGCTAGAGATGGACATGGTTTTATCGGATTTTTGGAAAAATGCCTTAATAAAGTTAAATCGATCATGCAATGTTACCAGACCTTAGGATATATTTTTTTCTTCTTCTTGAGAACAGTTTTGTATAAACCACACCTCTATCCATACCTACTCCTTTTGACGACAGATGAAATACTTTCTCTCAAGTTTACGGTCATTTATAAAATAATTTAAAATACAAGTTTTTAAATGCCCATTCTGAATATATTTAAAATTATAATGCAAAAATGTCATACTACTTTTACTAAATAACCCCCGAGGCTTTATTTTATTCATTAATACAGTACTTTCCCTTATTTAATGTTTACGTCGATAGATGTTTATTGTTTATGATTTATTTTTATTTACTTAAGATAGAAATATTTGCAAATTTAAATCGATTTAAGTTGATTTTGAATTAACATTTTATTATTTCGAAATTGTAACGCATTTTATCGAAAACAATACCTAATTTTTATTGAATAATGCCAAAATTAAACGGTACTCCTTTTCCTCTTAAACCTTCTTTTTATAAAAATAAAGAAAAATGGCGAACTTTTTGATTATCATATAAAATGTTCGCAAAATAATAGATTTATACTCATTAACGACTGGTGAATTAAGTGTAGAAAATCATCCATTCTTAAATGTGACAAGTTGATTGGTGAATTATTTTTACTAAAAAAGATATTAAAACTTGAAGTAAAATATTTAAACTATTTTTAAATTGTTGAAAACAATATGTGGTATATTAAGGTATTGGTCTAAGAGATAGCTGTGACGAAGATACTATGGGACCATCAGAAAGTATAAACTACAAGGGTTTAGTCAAACCAATTATAAAAGATGGCGTCACAGTTGCAAAACCTTCTATAATCGAGTTAACTAACATTTTTATAGAGTAACTAAACTGGTACGAGTACTAAATGTTTATAATCGATTTCTACATATATTTTGTTTATAAATAACACTTAATATTCCTCAAAGGTGACTTAGAAGAAATAAAATACGAATGTTAATTGATAAAATACGAAATAGGAGAAATCTAGTAAAAATCAAGAAAAATTGTTACTGATATGAATGTTGCATGATCAAAAAACAGACGCTTTATATTTTATCAGAAATTTTAATTGACAGTTTATAGCAATTTTAATTTTGTCTATTGAAACTCTAGACGTGACAATTTAGAACTAGTACCCATTATAAAAGTACTTTCTTTGATTCTAATGTCACTTTTTTTAATTATTATTCACATAAAAACGTTTCGTTTGGATGCAATAATGTTGAATCATTTATAGAATAATTTAATCAATTTCGCATTTTCGGTATTATTTATATTGAATTGATATATTTTAAATAATATTGACGTCGATAAATTTGTACATTTATTTTGGGAAAACTATTTTTAAATTATCATTACTTAATTAAAATATTAAATATATTATTCTATTTAGAATTTGTTCATAATTATATCACTATTAAAATATTATTTATCATTTTTGTTATACTAAAAAACACTTTAGATAATAAGCTAATACTTCCATTTACAAATTTATTTTATTTTTTTTAATACTATTCGATGATCTAATAAGTTATTTCAATAAAAGTATTAAAATTTTTAAAAGTGGCTTCTTTTTCGTGGATTATAGCGTAGGCCATTGAGTTTTAGATAGTCAGGCCTGCGCCGTACATAAGGGCAAAGTCGTGTGGTGCACGACGGCGCCGAAAAGCCTCAAAACTCAAAAGTAAAAAAGATTTAATAACAAACAACATTGTCAAAACAAAATTTATAATGATAATAAAAAAAAAAACCGTAAGGAATTGCTATTACATTGTTTTTTTATTTGTTTATTATTTTATTTTTACTCTTTGAGACGAGGGAACCGAATTTCTCGAAAATAATATATTTTCCAAAAGAGAGTACGCAGTAATAACATTTATTCGATCGAATACGTAACATGATAAACATGAAACAATTATCAGTAGCAGACAAGAAACTGATCTAGAAATTTGGGGAGTTATTTTAAATTTGCACAAGGGTGCCAAAAGTGCTAGGTGCGGGCCTGTAGATAGTAACGAATTATTTGAAATCATTGTGTTGTTTCCTTCACAAAACAAAATGTGGTGTTTCGAAAGGATTTTGTTGAGTCAATTTTGCAAAATTTATAAGGAAACCTGTTCTCAAAAAAATTCTCACCTCGCGTGGCGTGGTATTTGGTAAAATTATTTAACAATATAAAGAGATATATGCTTTAAATTTTATTTAAATTTTAACGTGTTTTTCGGTATACTTTAAATTATTGAGTTAATATTTGAACTATCAAAACGTTTTTTGTACATTTTTGTCTTTTTCTTGATAAATTTTACATCGTCGTTTCGCATAAAACATTGATACAATTTATTTTGATTGGCGTGTGTTTGAAAAAAAGAAAAGTGTTAAATAAATGAATTTCACTCATTCTTAGTCTTTTAAAATTAATTTTTAAAAACAATTTTCCTTTAATTTATTTATGCGATTATCCATAATCTCGATACCGCCTCGTTATATTTATTATATTTGATAATCTTTAATTTTTGTTCATCACGGGTACCATCAAAAAAAATTTCACTCCAATTGCAACACCTTTAATGGCTATAATCTAAACGTTAAGTACATGTGACTATGTGAAAAAAAAATATAATTGTTTTACTCACGATATAATGGGCAACGATTACAATTACGCTGGATAATTAATTTTTTTATTCATTCATACTTAATCGGTCGTGTGATGAAGGGGAAAGTAAAAAATAAAAACTTGTTTTAAATATTTCTAAATGTTTCATGTTAAACATGAAAGTATGAGAAATTGTCTTATAAACACTCTGAATTACTCTCTTTTTCAATGTTAATGCGTTTGTGTTTAAAAAATACTTTTCGCAAGAATATTTGTAGCAAATATTATAAAGAGATTAGGTAAAAAAAAATCCAAACGGTAAATTTAATTCTAACAGTAAATAATAGATATAATAATATCATCAGCGTCATCGTCATCATCATCATCATCATCAATTAGATCTAGGTATTAAACAAACAAAAATGGAAGCTCCATAAATTAATTGTAAAAATATAATAGCATTTTGGTAATTCTATATAGGCTCAAAATAAATGTTTAAGTAATAAATAGTAGGTATATTATTGAAGATCGCTACATTTGGGCAATTTAATAAAAAAATAAAAATCTCTATTTACTCTAAAATACTTTTAAAAATATTTTTTTAATGTAATGCTAGCCATTTTCGACAATTCGGTTATGCTCCAATCTTTTTTTTTAATCCTTTGATATTCTTTATTTATTTTAGTAAATGTTTCTTTCATTTGTAAAATGCGTTTCCTTAGTAATAAACAATAATAGTAAATACGATGGTTATTAACTGTTTGTATGGATGAAAAGAAAATGAAAATAGCTTTCCAATGAAGTATCACATGATTCTACTTTCCATTAGAAAATTTAAAGACAGTAACGCCCTCTATCTTAAGTCTCAAATAAAGTACATGTCTTTATTTACTTCCATTTAGAAGTTAAGAAGGGGGACACAATGGACGGAATTTAACTAATCTATTCTGTTTAAGCAGAATACTTTTTTCTTGCAATAAATAGATAAATAATAAGTTAAAGTTCAGTTTTAAACCAATTATTTAAAATACTCTATTTTTCCGCCATTTTGCGCTTCATAATGAAGCGGCTATTTCTATTATATTTTTCTAATAGCATCAAGTGGTCAAGCGTATTAATAAATTCACTCTGGAAATTAATATTTGGAATAACCTGTGTTCTATAAAGTAAATTATAATTTTAATTTGAGACAATCAGTAAATATTTTTTTTTCGATATCGTCTAGAAAAAGCCACCGTTGGTGAATCATTAATATCATTATGTAAAGGGTTTTTATATTTAAAATGAATCAGTACTTCTCGCACCTTCAAACGAAAAATATATCGAAAGTGCGCGTGCGATATAATTCGGTTTTTAAACATCGATACATCGGGCCATGCCGAAACAAAATATATGCTTGCTTTATAATAACATTTAGTTCTTATTCATCAAAAATAAACTTATAATATTTGAACTTCCTTATTTAACATACAAAAAGTCCTAGAAGTTTCTTAAAAAGCAACATTTGCAGTTAAATATGAAAATATAACTTTCTTGTCACTTTGCATTGGAAATCTAGCTTCTCTTTGTATGGACATTTTATTTCAATGACATGAGAATCAGAAATGCCATCTAGCGCAACTCCGAAGATTGATAATTTTTATTTATAAAGAGCACACATTTATTGATATTAATACAACTTCAAGTCAGTAAAACTTCCAACTTTTGACAACAATGACCGTTTCTAATAATACAATGTAGAAGTGATGGAAAGTTTTTACTTCGATGGTGCATGTAGCTACAACAAGAAAACAACACTGCTTTCATCCACTTTAAAAAAATAGAACTTTGTAAAATAATTTTTAATACTGTGTGAATTGAAATTACCTACGGAAGCAGAATATTCTGTGAATTTACAAGATACCGCCTTCTCCATTTGTTCATTTATTATTACATTAACGTTATAAACTTTTTGTGAATTGTGTTTTGGGGCAATTATATCTTTATTATTATTATTTTTTTATTATTATTATATTTTTGATTACCTATATATTTCATTTTCATAAGAGAATTCCTCAACCTTATTAAGAAATGTTCTACATTAAATATCAATAGTTTATCTTATAGCTGACAGCAATATAATTAATTCCTTTTTACCAAATTGTAAATTATAGTAATATCACTAATTTCATGCACGACTTCACTTATCGCTGGCTTAAAAT